AGATCCAAGTCTGTAGCCCCAAAGCTTAATTGCCCTTGAGTAGTAATCTTTGCCTCCTATGTACAGAAGTGATGAAAGCATGCTGGGAAAGGTTCACCCTGTGTACACATGGATTAGATCAGGATCTGTCTTAGTTCTCTGTTCTTAGTTCTTCCTTTTCTTAGTCTTTTGTTTCTTAGTTCAGTTTGTAAGTGGTCCAGAGCAGGTGGGTGCATTTGTCCTGCTGTACAGCACTTAGGGTAGTTTAGTGGCTTTATACTTCTGGGGCACAAATAAGTTGTGTGCAAGTGGTGTCTCCTCGTAAGCTGGCTCCTTGCAGGAGTTATAAATATAATTTGGTATGTTTCTTTTTTAAATGTTGAATTCCATCTTGACAACAGAAATAGAAAATCCTGAACACTTGTTTTAGTCTCTTTGAGTTATTCTGATTTGTATGCTTTAAGTGGGTGTTTCATTTTGTGGGAGGTGGGGAGAGGTCAGCACTACTGCCTTACCAAGGTTAAGGAGTTTTGTTTGTTTTGATAACTTTGGACATGTCTAGCCTTTGTGTTAGCAAGTAATCATTCATGGAAGTCATATCCCCTTCACAGAAGAGGTGATTAATAGCCAAAAAAGAGGTGAGAAAGACCTATCATCATTGGTGGATTTGAGCCTTTCCTCATGTAGTTTCTGAAGTCAGGCTAGCTGCTTATTGAAAGGCACTAGTGGGGATCACTGATTTTAATGTGAAGTTTTAATGTGAAGTTTTCTAACAGAGGAAAGAACAGATTACGTAAATTTTAGATTCTGTCCTGAAACTGGAAAAGCTCTGTGCAAAACTGGAATGAACTGGTCAAGGCCACAGAAGTGTGGCAACAGCTTCTGTTTTTGTTCTGCTTTAATGAACCAAGGGAAGCATCAACTTCAAAGGAAAACAAGAAATGGAGTGAAAGTTCTTAGAGCTCGCTCTCTGCATGCATGGCTGCCTGATTTGACTTTGCAGTCCCTGTACCAGCAGCTCAGTGTGGGTGTTGCAGACCTCTGCCAGGTAGCAATGATGCAAGAGTCCCACCTATTTCGAGTCCAATTGTCCGTTGTGCTTATGGCGAGATATTGTGTAGTGTGGAGGTGAGGTGCTGGCAGCTGGTCTGCCACTTTAGTTCTGCTTCTCTGCTTTAAAAACAAAACTTGAAGTGAGGTGGACACAACTTTTTGTAGTATCAAAAAATAGTAATGGATTTTTTTTTTAATTTGCTTTTTTCAGAAAACCCAAATCTTTACTTCCCAGTGCTATTGGCAGGTGCAAAGGCGAAATTGTGGAATGTTTCTATACACCAAATCTTCAAGGACAAAGCTGAAATACCATTTTCTGGTTCTGGTGCCAGCAACCAGAGCTGTCCTCGTTGTAACGTTCCACACTTCAGCCTTCAAGGCACTCTTGCAGGTCCTTAATGCACAGAGCTGCCTGACGCAGCCGTGGTGATGTGGAAGGGCGCAGTGATGTAGCCGGTCTTCACCATTCCCACTGTGAGAGGGACCGAGAGTACAAAGCTGGCTGGAAGTCGTTGATATGTCTTGTGTGCTTTTTCCTGCCTTTTGATAACCTAGGGTTTATTTCAACATTTGAGATTTGGGAAAGATACTACGTGACTAACTGGACCTTACCTATGTTGGTTTATGAGGGGGAAGAGGCCGTTATGGATACTGGGTAGGCACACGAGCTGTTTTAATTGGAATGCTGAAGGTAATCCATTGCACTTCTCGTGCAGTGGGAGGAAACGGGCCAGGGCAGAGTAGGAAGCTCCTCTGTCTGGTAGGAAAATCATTGTTTCTCTTTAAATACAGAACAGTGCTGATTTCTTCTTGAGGCTGCTGAGTCTGGGGAAAGCCTCAGAGCTGCAGAATGATTTGTTTCTTAAGTGTGGGAAGAGATGTTTTCTTCTGTTGTTGGTGATGTCAGTTTGGATCTGGTTCTGATGTAGATTGACTTGCCTTGGAGCTGGAGATGTCACACTAGAGCACTTCTCTCAAGATGCCAACTGGTAGGGTTGACCTTCTCGTAATTGTGTTCTTACTAGTCAGGCTTGGATACCCAATGACCCATGAAATACTGACTTTTGCTGATTGTCACAGCTGTTAAAATATATGAAACAAGAAATGCATGCATAAGGAGCACTCAGGCATTTGTTCACAAGCTAGTAATGATCTCCAGCATCTTCTCTCTTTTTTCATGTAAATTGCACTCCTGTGTTTAGCTACCTGTGTAAGTAGTTAATAGTGTTACGTGGTTGCTTATGGTTCAGATACTGATGTGCCTTTTACATTTTACAGCCTCCACAAAGAGCTCTAAGCTTTTGTTCTTATCTGCCCTTCAGTGCTGATTTTTCTACAGTACTCTTTACAGGCTTTCTGTGGGCTTCTTTCTCTGTCCTTGTGTTTTATGAGCTGGTGCAGGCAGTACTTAGAGTGCTCATACTTCAGGAAAAATTTAGGGTGGGTACACTATTTCTTCCTTTCTCCTCCCTACTTTTCCTTCCTCCACAACCTGCAATTTTACTGCGAACTGTGATGTATTTCACTGTTTTGTTTGTTTGGGGTGGCTCTTTTGTGTTTTGGTTTTTGGTTGGTCGTTTTTTTTAACTTGAATTTTCTGATTAGTTTCTGCCTTTGAGTGACTGCTTTCATCCTGCTAAGGTTCTATTTGCCCGTGGCAAGTCATGGGCTTCAAAGTCTTAGCTGAAACTGATCAGGAAGCAAAAGCTCTCCAAACTGTTTCCTCCAACTTGCAATTTACTAAATATTTACTGACGTGGCCAGTTTTCACATGTGCTTGCCGAGGTATCTTCGTTCTCTAAGGCAGCAGGAGCCCTGTGGGCTGTCTCTGGGCTAACATTAGTGATATTTATTGCTTGAGAAAAACTCTGCGGGATGAGCGATGTAGCATTACAGCTGTCCTTCAGGCAGGAAAAGTTCCCAGCTGCCTAGGAGCAGCAGCAAGGTAGTTTCCAGAGCTGTTTTGAAGTGGCTACACTGAAAATAAGGAAAAGGTGTAGGGGAGGAAAAAATCTCTTATTTTTTTCTAGTTTGAAGTACAACAAACTTTGTACAGGAAGGGGGAAGATGCATTAGAGCTACTTCAAGATGCAAGTTTCTCCTCTGACTTTTTAGTATATTTTTCTGATCAGATACTGTTATCAGTTGTGGGCTCTGGAGCTTCTAGGGTAAGTGTGGAGGGTGGAGGTAGGCAAGAAGGAATGTAAAGGACAAAAAAGCATAGGGGGAGTGCCAGAATGTGCAGCTGCCCTGTGCCCCACACTCTTTTGTTCAGTAAGATGAAATCTGAATGGCTTTGATCAATCAGATTATTCAATTAATTTGAGTCAATATTCTGTGTTGACACCTGGCAGATTACCACGTGACAGCGATGCTAATCTGCTGTGGGGCTTCATGGAGGCAAGGTTGTGACCGCAACTATTGGTGCTTAGGACTTAAATCTGGCAGTGACCTGATAATGGATTGGAACACTTGGAAATGTAATTGCTCGTGTAGCATGTATTTTATAGGGATAAATGTTGGAATACCTATCAGTTTTACCTTGGGAAGGATTCAAAGGGTGGAAATGAGAAAGGTGTTATGTGGCCAGAACCAGACATCTGCTGGGAGGCACTGGTACTTACTGCTTAAGTCGTGTTCGATGCAGTAACAGACATGTGAGAAAAGGGGCAGAGGAGTGGCTGGATATGTCCTGAAGTCTTCAGCTTGTTTATTGTGGTGGTGCATATGAATCTGGAGTTACTGGAGCGCAAAGAATAACTTTTCTCTTTTTTCAGCTGCAAGCTCTCAGTTGCCATGTCCATAAACTAACTTCTTTCTCTCTTCATTTGCAGTTACGCTGTCTCATATCACACAGCTGGTTCTGAGTCACAACAAGCTTACAAGTAAGTACACTCATGGTTTTAGACTTAATTAGAGGCAGTTGAGCAGTATTGAGAAGCTGACACTGCTAGTTTAATTTTTAATTTTTTTAATAGCATGCAACATCACTGTTAAGAGTGCTTCTTGGTAAAGTACTTTATTTTAAATAAAGGTATTCAAGATATGACTTAGCAGTCATGTTCAATGTGTCTTTCCAACTTCAACACAGATCTGCCACATATGGGAAGATCTGTAATTCTCAGCCTTGTTACGGGTTTAGTCAAAAATTCATTCCCTACCATGACTCTAATATCCTTATATTTAGGTGAGGACTTTTTGATTTTTTTTTTTTTTGCTGTAATGTTTCTGATACACTTTGCATTTTAGTAGATTGACAATTAATTTGGCTGAAGCAAGTGAAAATAAATTACAGCTCAACTGCTCTGCATCTATTATTATATGTGAGAAAAGCCAGCTAAATGTGAGCTTCAGGGATGAAAGTCAAGCAGTCTACTTCTGCCAAAAAAACCACTTTTGAGTATAAGTTGTGTCTTGTTTATACTGCACACACCACCTTCAGGTATTATCACCCTGTGGATCCTTCTTTCCATAGTAAAGAAGCCCTTAAGTGAGATGTTGGTGAACAGCATGTCAGGAGAGCAACATAAATGAGATACTTAACTTAGTGGAGGCAGATACCAGACTGACTTTTTGCAAGGCAATAAAAAAAATACTCTTTTTGTAGGAGAAAGCTTCAGGCTTACCCATCAGTGCATTGTGCAAATGATCCTCCTTCTTGGTTCTTGAAATAGAAGCAGTGAGTTTTGCCTGTTCCCTGTTAATGTGCGTCTTCTGAAGAGGAGCGTTTGTTTTGTTGGTTCCGCTTGTCCTTGTCTACTCTCTGCATGTGCCAGGGGATTTCTGTCTCAGCCAGTCCTTCCCTTTTTGGAGTGGAATTTTTTAAGAGTGCATGAAACGGGGAGGGGGATGGAACCACCAAAGGGGATGCCTGTTGAAGAGGTGCCTGGGTCCATGCTTTGGCATGTACCAGGTTATATCCAAGGAGAGCTTTACAAGTTGAGAGGAGTTTAAAAGAAAACAGCAAAAAACCACCACCACAGAAACAAACCATGCAAAAAACCTCCCAACAGGCAAACCAGCCCCCCCTCAAAGTAGAACTTATGTTAGCAGACTGCAAGTATATCTGTTCTCTCAGCCAGGGGATTCTGTCAGCATTTTTAATTGCTATGTTTGGGTTTCTTTTATGGGAAGGTAAAACTGCTGCTACTCCTGAGAAGTAACTTATAAAGTCTGAAACCTACTATTCTTTCACTAACTGATGTAGACATTTAAATAGACAGCACATATTTTTAAAAGGCTAAATTTCAAGTTCGTGTTCTCATATTTGACACTGTTGACCTAATCTTTTAAGCTATATAATTAATTTTCTTAGCAGATTGTTCTTAAAATGACTAGGAAGCTGGTGGCAGTGACACTTGACATGCTACACTAAGGTCATATTAGCATCTTCTGCTAGTTTTCTGCCATTTAAATGAGTGTTCTGCTTGCTTTTTTTCCAGCTGTTTAGAGTAAATATGTCTATCTGGAAGAATAAATACAAGTGAAAATGGGATGTACTTGTTTTTATGTAACCATACTTAGTAATTTTTGCCAGCAAACTCTATTAAAAGTAAAGTTTCGTTAACAAGTATGAGGGCCACACTATTAAATCCATCATACTGCTTCAAATATTTTTGTGGCGTGTTTTTTGTTAGTATTCAGAGGAGAGCCACAAAGATGATCCAAGGGCTGGTGCACCTCACCATGAGGACAGGCTGTGGGAGCTGGGATTGTTCAGTCTTGAAAAGAGAAGACTTCAGGGGGACTAATAGCTGCCTTCCAATACGTGAAGGGAACCTACAGGACAGCTGGGGAGGGACTTTTTACAAGAGTGTCCACTGATAGGACAAGGGGAAATGGGTTTAAGTTGAAGGAGAATAGATTTAGACTGGATCTTAGGAAGAAATTCTTCAGTACGAGGGTGGCAAGACTTTGGAATAAAGTGCCCAGAGATGTTGTGGCTGCCCCCTCCCTGGAGGTGTTCAAGGCCAGGTTGGACAGAGCCTTGAGTAGCCTGATCTAGCTGAGAGGCGTCCCTGCCCATGACAGGGAGGTTGGACTAGATGATCTCTAAGGTCCCTTCCAGCCTAGGCCATTCTATGATTCTGTAATTTTTAATATGCCATTCATACTGCTGGTGCATACTGTGCATTTACATGCCTAAATCATTCATTATAAGAAGTACTCTAATCCACATTGATTTTTCTGGAGAATATTACACTGGGTTTTTTCAGTTGTCTTTGCTGTGTTAATGGAGGAGTCTTGGACTGGCTGCTTCTGCTCTGGGTAATTTTGGAAACAGTTGAATCTCTCCTTTGCTGCTTCATGAGAACTTTTTGTGCTTCAAAATCGGAAGCAAAACTCTAGGGGAAGCTATATAGCTGTGATCCTGCAGTCTTATTGAACCAGCTGCTGTGTGACAAACCTGGGATGATTCCACTTTTGGGTCTCCTGTGACAATCCAGTTAAAAGCAGAGGGAGGAAGTGAGTATTTGTGTGTTTTCCTACCTCAGTGGAGACATATGGGCCGGTGTCTCCATGTATTGTACTGTGAAGTTTTTGTTCCATCATTTAGTGATTTAAACCCTTCTATCCAGTATACTGCTGAGAAGCATAATTGAAGACAGTCATGCTTATGTTATTAGCCTGTGTAGGTTACCTGATTCTGACACAGGTGTCTTTTAAACCCATGAGTTAGCATCCAAATAAATGGAAGTCCTTACATGTTCCTCAAACTTAGGGAAATGAGTGTCTGAATGATAAAAATCTGGTCTTCAGTGTGGTGGATTAATTTGGGTGGATGTGACGAAGGTCTCTTTGTGTCACTTGATGGTAGCCAATGGGATCCAGTAGACCTGACTATGGGTAGAGAGTGAGGGTAGCTGTGCTGCAGGGGGATGGTGGGAGTTGCAGCTGCAGGACATATTTCTGTAGAAATCATGCTTGATTGGTTTAGTCTGTCACAAATATTGTTTCCACATCTTTTGTGCAAGAGTACTAATTCTTATGGATATCTGTTCTACTGTTTTGTGCACTTCTGATTAGGACTGCTTCACCTAAGTTTAAGGGGAATTGTAACTTGCCTTGAAGTTGGCAGCAATCTTGGCCATTTGCTCTTTGATGTCTCTGTGCGGGGTGAGAGTGAACTTAGGGTGCTGGTGTAGATGTGCCTGTTTTGTAACTGACTTGTGCCACTTCGCTATGGATGTGCCAGTTGTGTGTTACGCTGTGCTTGGTTTTCAGCAGTTTGGACTGTCATGAGACTTCTGAACTTTCTTGTTAAGGAATTTGTCTTGGAAGTTATTGAAATCAAACTTGGTCCTACATTGTTCAGATCTCTTCAGCTGGGGTTTGTGGTTTTGTAATGATTCTGGGGTCAGGCTGGGAACTGCAAAATGCTGGATGTCTGGGGAGCCCAGGTCAGGGAGAGGGAAGGTGTGTTGCCAAGCACAGTGTCTGGAGGGCTTAACTTTTTCTTATAAATTGGTTGCACTAGAACACCTCATGTCTACTTGTGACTGGAAGAAAGTACCTTTGCAGGCTCAGACTGAAGTCAGCAGGGTAGATTAGGCTTTGCCTCTTGGTATCCTTATGCCACTAGATTTCTAAGTGAGCAATAATTGGAGTGGAATTAGCAATAGAGAAACTCTCATTTTTAAAGGAAACTAAGCATATATATTGTGGCTTGTGCTTTACCTTTTCTTTTTACTTCCAGAGCAGCTTTCATGAACTGTTTTGCCATTAGGCATGAAGAGGTACTGAAGCTTCTAGATTTCAGATAGCTAGGCTAACTCAAGGTATTATCCAGCTACTTAAAGCTTATATAAAATTTTCACATCCTTGTATAGTCACACTTCATCTGCACACCAAGTAAGGACATTTTGACAATTAAAATCCCTGTACTACATCATGAGTAGTAAGTGTGCTTGAAGAGCTCTCAGAAACTGAGGTTAACTGTAGTCCAACCCAGGAGTGCACAGAGGGAGTGCAGAGTGACTGGAAAGCAGTCTGGGATGTCAAAGGCTTCCTCAGTCTTGACAACAGTGCTGGTCATCAGTGTGTGTGCAACTATTACACTGCCAACTTGACATGTCTTTTATTTTCACTTAATTTTGGGGTATGCTGTAAGTTTTTTATTACTTGTACCTACTGTAACAGTTGCTTGACTTACCTACCTGAGATGATTAATTGATGTTGTAATCGTTTGGAGATTACAATATTCAGACATTCTAGCTCTTGGTTCAGTATCTTGTCCTGCCTGGAGTTGATGAGCCTTTCTGCTGTCAGTGGAAACACCCGTATTATGTGATTTGTCCGTTAGAGGTCACTGTTTAAATATCTTTGGCAGTATCTTTCGTGGGAAGAAGCTGGTGCTTGTGGTGGCAGCCTGGTGTGAGGGGGTCAACAGCAGCTTAGTTTTTGCTGTTCTACTCAGTCTCTGTTTTAACATCGGGTGATCCTGTGCTTGCCAACTTCACTATATTCTTGTGCTGCCTTTAAGCAATTCTCAAAAGTTGTCTGCTATTCATAGCTTATTGATTATTTTTCTATCCTTTTATTCATACGCTATGATTCCTTGCCTACTATTATCAAATGTCTGAATGATGAGAAATCAAGAACAACTTTTTTTTCCCCCTCAAACCTCACCTGTATTATCTGATGTCATGTCCTTCTCTTCGTTTCCTCTGAGCTGCTGTCCTATACTGTCCTCTGCTCTTTCCACTGCTGCTTCTTTGATTCTTGAGTGTAATTGTTTCCTAATCTTTAGCCTTTTCCTTTTTGTGAGGTACTCCATTAGTGGTGGGATTTTTTTTTTGTTGTTTGGGTTTTTTTGCCTACTGGTGCCCATTTCCACACCTGGATTTTGTTTGAATTCACTTTCTGATCCTGTCAGAATAGCTGT